TTCTTGTAACAGCTTCAATCTCTGGAGACAGGCAAGTCGGCAGTTAAGTAGCGCTCAAAGAGAAATGACAAAAGCAACAGAAGCTTAAGCTATCGGTGGGGGATGAGTGGGTGGGGGATGGGCAGGTGGCAGGGCAGACTGTGGCAGGGTGAAGGTCCACTCACACTCTCTAGTTCACATTCTCTCAGCTGCTCCTCCTGACCTGCCTTTGTAACTGAGAAGATGCTATGCAGAGATGCCTAGTTACCTACCCAGAGCCACACAGTATCTACGTGGAGCCACACAGAGTCTGCGTGGAGAATTGAACATGTCTTGACAATTCCCTGCTAGACTTCAGCACTCCATACCACACCCCATAGACAGATAACTCCAGGAGCCCTGACTAGGAGCCCTCCAGGGCCTAGACAATCACCCAGTTTCAGTGTCTGCCTAAGCCAGACGGTCCCCTGACCTCCCCTCCCAGGGAACCAGGGAACAGAGCCTCACACTGCACATAGTGTCCCACAGTCTGCCGCTGGCTCCTGTCCCCTCACTCTAGCACAGTCTCAAGGGTGGGGGGGGTGTCATTAGATCTCCCTGGGGAGGAGGCTTGGCTTTGAGGGGTGGGTACCCAGTAGATAGATAGCATCTATGAAAAATAAAACAGCTCTGTGCCCAAGCTGGGTGCCAAGCCCCAGGGATCAGGGGGTGGAGAATTTGCTAGCCAGGCTAGCCTTGGTAGGAAGACCTTGGGGAAAGCAAATGGAAAGAACCCAGGGAAGACCTATCTCAGCTCCTGGCAGAACTGAGCTCTGGCCAGAACAGCCTTATTCATATTTGAAGAGGAATTAGATACCAGGTCATGCTAAGAGCTGGGAGAGAGAGGGCTGCTATCAGAACCACTCTCAGCAGCCTAATGAGATGGAGAAAAGAGCCCTAGAGAAAAGACAGGGGGGTGGGAGAGGGAGCAGAGGAGGGAGGAGGGGTAGGGAGCACTAAGAGGCTCCACTCTACCTGTCAGTGAAGACTCACTGAGTGTGTCTTGGAATATGATTCTCAGCCTTCTAGGATGTCTGTGGAAAGCATGGCTTCTCTAATATCATGAAGATAAAGGTTAGGGTGGGGTGGGAGGCCACCGAGACCCATCCAGTATTTCTCTAGCCAAGGGCCTACCAGGGGTTGGGAGGGCACTAAGCCTGGCTGAGGCATGGCATTGGTTAGCAGGGCTCTTCCTGATACTGCTACACTGGGGTTCACAGAAACCCGGGTGATAACCTCACAGGAAAGACAATCTGTAAGTGGCTCAGAGCAGAGGTATATCTCACATGACCATAAGCTGCCTGGCCCTAGCCCCACTGCAGCGAGTAACCCATGACAGACAGGTCCAGAAAAATCTGGGCTTTTTTTCCCTACCACATTTAGAATACAAGCCAAAGTCCTAGCTTGGTTTGCTAATTGGAAAATCCATTTTTAATATATAGCAGCCCTGGGGCCATTCTGACCCCAGGGACTGCATTTGCTACTGGTCTGCCTGTAAGACTACTCCCCAAGATGCGTGCTCCCTGGGTTCCTGCAGGTCTTTGTCTAGCTCCCTATGTAACAGCGTCCTCTCTAGCTTTCGGTCCATCCTGGGTGCATGTGGCCCATGGACTGCTTGGCAATTGCTAATGAGTATGTGACTGGGCTAATTTGCTCCTGCTGCTCTCCAACAGGGCCAGATGTCGTTGTTTGCAAATTGAGTTCAGAATTCTCCGGAAAGAAAGAACAGCTTTTTTGGGTCTGACTTCCCATTGCAAATCCTAGACAAGTAAACAAAAACAGTGACTTGGTACCTACTGTGTACTTGGTACTTACTGTGTGCATGGTCCCCATTGGTTAAGGGGAGGGCGGTGCAACATGACTGACCTGGTGGGATCTGAGTGGGCTGAGAACCATAGGGGAAGAGTTGTAGCCTGGGGGAACAGGGAGGCTGCAGGTAGCAGGGACTTTCTGAAGAGAAGGGGCCATTCTGAAGGACAGGCCACGTAGAGTGAATGGTCTGAAGAAGCTGGATGCAGCCACTTGGCACCCAACTGGGAAGCCAAAGCCTTTCTAGCTTATGTCCTTTTCACCCTCTCACTTTGGGTCGTTTCAAACTCCTCAAAGACAAGCATGCTACAGGAGGATTCTTCAGAGACATCTCTGTGGCCCAGGAAGAGGCCATGTTGGGCCTGACTTCCGACTAGATTTTACTCAACCTAATGCAAGTAGCTTGAACTTGGATGAGGCTGAAGAACCCTGCTGGGCTCAGTGTGGCCACTTGTAAATTTGTTTTATCAAACTGTTGGGAAGTCTCTTATGTGAGACTCTAACCCTGTAACACAAAACAGAGCCTCAGCTCGGGTAAGCCTGCTCCTCTCAGGGAGGTCCCTCTGTTTCTCTCTGGGCCTCTGATCATCATGGCTTTGGACCCTGCCTCTATCTCCAGGCCTACCAGGTTGCTCTCTGGAGGATGCTGGGAGTAGGAGCAGCTAGGAGGAGGAGTCTTCCCTGCTCAGCTACTGTAGCCCACCGCTGCTATCCCCACATTCAAACCCAGGGCCTTCTAAAGCTGGCCAAGTCAGATGCTGATCATGGAATCTTGTTTGGTTTTGAAGCAGAGCGATGAGAAAAGGAATGGGGGAGAGACAGAGGAAGCAGTGGTTTGTGAGTCTGGTTTCTAATCACACGAGGGATGTGTTCTATCTATGAAACTCTGGAGGAGTTCCATCTTCAAAATGCTGACTCTGAGCCATGGGGGGTGGGGGGGGTTGCAGGAAGTCAGCAATTGGGGTAGCTTACCAGGGCCTCAGCACCTCTAAATTCCAGCCATTCTGTGGTCACCTACCATACCCCTGGGCTGAAGAGTGATAGCTATGGACTGCACTTGGCCTTTTCTGTATTCCTACTGCGGCCTTTCTGGACCTGGACCGACACGGACTGCCACAAGATCCATGAACAGCAAGAAAATAAGGATTTAGCGCCTCCTGTTGGCAAATCTGGGTTATGTCTGGATGGCTGGAAGTGATGCCCAAAAGAGGCAGCTTCAAAGCAGTTGTTTGTAGCATGTTATAAACAGGGATTTTTCCCTCGAAAACTTTTCCTTCTTCTGCCAACAGTCACCAAGGACATAGAATTGTTTAATTTTAAAGTTATCATCTTCACTCATTAATCAGTATAATATGGACTGGAGAGACGGCTCAGCAGTGAGGTCCTGAGTTCAACTCCCAGCACTCACGTGGTGGTTCAAGACCTATAAAGGTATCTGATGTCTTCTTCTGGCATGCAGGTGTACATGCAGCAGAGCACTCATACATAAATTAAATAAATAAAATAAACAAAAATTAAAAATCAATATACTATAATATAAGCAAGTGAAAATCAAACATAACCAAGATCCCTCTCTGTGTGCCTTGGAACCAGAGAGCAGAGAAGCCCAAAGTGCAGACCTCAGATAATTGCCTTAGGGCATCCGCCCACCCACTCATCCATTTACTGACAAGGTATTAACATCCATTAATACGGTGAATCTTGAGGCAAACAACTTTGGAAAGACTGAAGGTTTATTTCTATCCATGGTTTTGAAGGCTTCAGTTCACAGTTGCTTGGCTCTGTTAATATTAGACCAGTAACCAAGCAGTATATCACAATGGAGAGAAGCTGGTGGCAAGAAAAGACAGACAGACAGACAGACAGACAGACAGACACACACACACACACACAAACAGAGGAGGGGGAGCGGGGAGAAGAGCACTGATTTAGGAGTCAACCATTTAGGCCTTAGGAGAAAACTTTCAATCCAAATCCCAGTGATTATTGGACTCCGGGTCTTCCTCAGACAGACAGCAACGAAGCATTTCTCCTCATGGGATTTATATTTTAGACAGAGGAGCCGGAAAGAGACAACGCAGAGAAATGAATCAGCTGTGTTGACCATTTAGAAGAAAATAACGCAATCTTTTTTAAATGAAGGGCTAATGAGGAGGGAAAGCTGTCGTATGCTGAAGGGAGGGGTGGGCAGTGGCAGTCCAGAGTCCTGGGGCCCCCTAGAACCACTTCACCAGCGCCTCACTGTAGCCCAGACATAGTTTTTGAGACAGGATCTAACTATGTAAACCAGGCTGTACTTCAACTCGAGGAGACCCTCTTGACTCTGCTTCCCAAGTGCTGGGATTAAATGCGTGGGCCACCATACCTGGATCATTTTTCTTTTAAAGTTTGAGGTCAGAGCACAGGTATTCTGGAAGGATAGGCTACTTTGGGTCCGCATCCATTCCTGGACAGTCACAGGAAGCTCAGGCACAGCTGAGACGTTTCACACAATCCCACCTGCCCATCACAAGTCCATCCCCCATCTAGTCTCCACTCCACCTGGGATGTAGATTTCCTGGCCTCTGTCTTTAGCAAAGAGAAAGGGGAGTCTTGCCAAAGCCACACAGGCAGGAGGCCCTACGTCCTGAGCCCAACGGGATGGTGCCTGGGATTCCTGGAGCTCCTTCCAAGGTCTCTTTATGCAGTGGTTCTCCTGTCCTGATTAAACTCCACTTCAGCCTACTGTCAAATATAGCCTCCTCAGAAATGGGGAGGTACCATAGGCTTGTTTGTGCTTTGAACAGACTCCTCTCATTCTAGTTACTCTCCATAGTCGGGAAGCACCTGACCCATCCGGTGTCTTACCTGTACACACAGGCCCTGGCTCTAGCCTCCTTCAAAGAGCAGGAGCCCTCATGGCTTGTGAACACTTCAGCTGATGCCGATACTCTTCAGATTTGCCTCAGCTGGAATCTCCGTGGAGACAGTTCTCTGTAAAGGTGCCAAGGCCATTTTAGGTAATAGGGAGCTGCTGGGCAAATGCCTCCAGAGGGGAAAAAGATGGATCTCATTACCCTGAGAGCCACCTTGTGTTTAAAAGAGAGAGGGGGTGGTGGAGGAGCAAGCTTCTGATCCCTGAATGGCAAAGACACTCCTGGAAGGCATAAGGATCTAGACTTAACTGCACAGCGATGAGTGAAAGCAGAAATGAGGGTGAGCTTGGTGGGGTGACACAAGCTGTGGGAATGGAGGGAGGCAGGAACTTTGGGCCATAGTGCCCTGGAGCTTCAAAGAAAGTGGAGGTTTATTGTCAACTGGCTTAGACCTAACATTGTAACATAGTATTATCTATAAAGTTTTTTGCTTGAGAACTGGGCAATGGAGTTACAGAAACAAAGCAACAGCAATCTCAGTGTTTTAAGATTTGACTTTGTGTTGGGTTGTATCCATGACTGTGCTGGGGCATGTGAGGTACAGCAACTATAGGCTGATGCGCCTGGAACCTTCCCTGATAAACACATCCTCCTTCTGTGTCTGGTAGACTGCATTCATTCCTTTGAGCTTCTGGTTTCTCATCTATAAAGTGAGCCTTGTGGAAACTAACTGGAAAGACAGACTAGGTGAAGCCTAAGAGAATCCTACCCTAGCACTGAGCCAATCTCTGCCTGGCTCCTTCTGCTCAAGATCTACCTTAAGCCCAAAACTCATGGCAGAGGGTTATCCTGCCAGTAACAGCTTGTCTGATCTTGGCACTGATTTTAACCAACATGGAGGATGAGTAGAGATTGGAAGGTAGGTGAGAGCAGGTTTAGGGACACTGAAGCCAAGGTGTAGTTAGGGATTTGGAGAAGAGGACTGATGAACCCCAATTTTAACAGTTTAGGGCTTGGATTTAGGGGCAACATTTCTTTGTGCTACAGCATCATTTACAATAGACATTTCCTATATAAGAAGTCTTGGCAGAGTCCCCAACTTCTAAGTTAATAACTTTAAATCATATTCACTTCCTTCTTAAAAATACATCTTCCAGGAGAATGTGTTTCTTTGTGTGTGCACACTGTGTGTATAGAGAGAGAGAAAGGGAGGAGATCAATATTGAGTATCTTGGTCAGTCTTGTGCTTTAGATGGAATCTCTTACAGAACCCAACACTCTCTGTTTTGGCTAGACTGGCTGGCCACCAAACCTCCTGGATGTTGCAGACTGTGTTTAATACTTTGAAGTGCTGATACTATACATGTGTAGAAGAAGCAACAAGGTTTTAGACATGTGTGGGTGGGGTTGTCGCTTGTAAAAAGCTGGGGATTACAGCATATGGTGGAAGGAGGGTAAGCCTAGTTTTCTGGGTGGAGGTTGTCTTAAAGAATGAGAGGCAGTTGTCGGCCTCAGACAGTCCCACCACCTGGAGTTTGCTGTCCTGATTTGTTTTGCTGGTTCATTGAGGCATTGAGAAGGTATTCTTGGTTGCTTCTGGTATTCTGACTGGTTTTTAGACACATTGGTAGCATGTTCACTGAGTACAGTCCTGGGAGCTTGGTAGAAATGAGGATTGTTGGTTCTCACCCCAACCTTTATCCAACTGGAGTCCAGGACCTTCACTGTCTGAGGCGTCTATCACACTGCAGGTGATTCAGGTGGACCAAAGCTGAGAAGCTGCACCCTGGGCTAGAGAGACTAGAAATGAAAGCCCGTAACAGCTGCCATGGCATGCTAGGAATCCGTGTGAGGTCAGGATGAAAGGACTGGGTATCTGGTGTGACTGTCTTGGTGGAGGATGGGGAAAAAAGAACAAAGAAAGGTTTATGTTCTAAAACGGAGGCTTCCAACCCTTTTCTATACAGGTCAGATAATAACTAGTTGAAGCTTTGGGGGCTGGAGCAATGTCTCAGCAGCTCCACTTGCTGCTCTTCCAGAGGACCAGGTGTTGATATTTAGCACTTGCATGTGTGCGCAACAGCAGTCTGTAGCTTCAGTTCCAGCGCCCTCTTCAGATCTCCATGGGCACTGCATGCATGTGGTACACAAACTTAATACAGACCAAACTCTCTCCTGCTTTCCCTCTCTCCCTCTCTCCCCCTTCTCCCACTCTCTCTCTGTCTCTCTCCCCACTCTCCTCTCTCTCCCTCTCCCTCTCCTTTTTTCTCTCTCTCCCTCTTCCTCTCTCTCTCTCTCCCTCTTCCTCTCTCCCTC